TTCTGGTGAGCAGGCAAGTGTCTTAGCCACTATGCTACCAGAGCTCCCAAATATTAGCCAGTGAAAATCTTATGAATCACAACTGAACATTGTCTGAATTGCTTGCTTTGGACACATATCAGGAGGGATCAATCATTGGAAGACATCATGTTTGGTGAAGTAGAGGGCCAGCAAGGGTATGGGAGACCTTTAGTGAGATAGCCTCAACAATGCACTCAAACATATCAGTGATAATGAGGAGTACATAAGACTGGGCACCATTTCTTTCTGTTGTGCTAAGGTCACTATGAGTTGACTGAAGGTAGTTCATCTATCTGTCTGTCTGTTTATCTATCTATCTATCTATCTATCTATCTTTCTGTTTGTCTGTCTGTAACCTAACTAATGACTTATAGCAACTCCATGTATGCAGAATAGAACTGTTCCATAGGGTTATGGAGCAGCTTTGGTGGCATAGTGCCTAAGGCATTTAACTGTTAACCAGATGGGTGGCTGTTCAAACTCACCAGCTACTCCTTGGAAGGAAGACTGAACAATCTACTTCTGTAGAGATACCACCTCAGAAACCCAAGGAGAGGTCACTATGAGTTGGATGCTATTCGACAGCAGTGAGTTTGGTTTGGTTTTGGTTTTATAGGGTTATAAAAGCTGTGACCTTTTGGAAGCAGATTTCCGGGCCTGTCTTCCAAGGGAGCTCTGGATGGGTTTGAACCATCAATACTTGGTCTAGTAGCTGAGCTCTTAACTGTTTGGGCCACCCAGGGACTTGATGTCCACTAACAACAACAACAGCAACATCCATCTATCTCTCTGATATGGGTCAAGAGGGTGTATCTTATTTGAGTTATATACTATGGCATACAGTCCTACAGGGATAATTTCCTTAAGTAACATATGACTTGGTCATTTCAAACATTCCCTCCTTCAGACAGAGACAAACTCCTGAGAGATGAGCAATTGTTCCTAAAGCAGGCCTGCTTAGTGTCGTGCAGGGGAATGATTCTGGTCTCAGACAGAAGATCCCTTTTATTCATCATTCTAGTATTGCTGACAGAACATACTTCTGCCTCACACACTTTTTGAACTTCTGTAGTTCATTCTATGTAAGCATAAGAAATTCCAAGGGAGTTGTAATAAGGATCTCCTAAACTAAACCAGGGAGCCCTGGTAGCATAGTGCCTAAGGCACTTGACTGCTAACCAGAAGGCTGGCGGTTCAAACCCACCAGCCACTCCTCGGAAGGAAGATGGGGCAATCTACTTCCGTACTGATACTGCCTCGGAAAAAGAATGATAACAGAGACTATGAGTCGCTATGAGTCGGGTCCGACTCGATGGCACATAACAACAACAACAACAAACTAAACCAAAAAAAAAAAACCGAAAACAAAAAAAACCCACTGCCATCAAGTGGATTCTGACACATTCTGACCCTTTAAGACAGAGTAGAACTGCCTCATAGGGTTTCCAAGGCTTTAAGTATTTACGGTGGCAGACTATGTCATCTTTTTCCCAAGGAGCCCCTGATGGTTTAAAACCCCAGACCTTTTAGTTAGCAACTACATGCTCTAACCACTGTACCACCAAAGCGTCATAAAGATCTCCTAAACTCATGGTCATAGAGCTGAATCCGACTCATAGCGACCCTTCCTTGGGTAATGATGCCACCTCAGAAACCCAAGGAGGGGTCGCTATGAGTCATGTCCCACTCCACGGCACATAACAACAACAACAACAACATCATTACGAAATAGATTGCCCAACCTTCCTTCTGAAGAGTGGCTAGTGGGTTTGAACTGCCAGCCTTCTGGTTAGCAGTCAAGTGCCTGAGGCACTACACCAAAGAATGGGGCTGCTTTATAGCAACTCCTCTCCTACTTCCTCTCTTAGTCTATTCTTCTCTCAAAATATTAAAGTTTTGATTGTAAATTTCACAAGTCTCTGTTACCATTCTTTTTTTTTTGTTTTTCTTTTTAACTTTTGTTGTGATTTGGGTGAAAGTTTACAGAGCAAATTCATTTTCCATTTAGTAGTTCATACACATCTTGTTCCATGTCATTGACTGAAATTTCCCCAGATGGCAGTGAGTTTATTTTTTCTATATTAGGATGTCTAAGCAAAGACAAAAGAATAGTAACAGCTTTCAGCCAAACAATAGACAGACATATAGGGTGAACATTTACATCAGGTAGATACACTGCTTAGAATCAATCCTGGGAGAACAGAAGAGCTGTGTTTGCCTAAAGGCGTAGCCGCTGTGGGGAGGTGGGGGCAAGAATGCATAGGAAAGAAAGACATAGGGAAGAAGGAATGCACAGGAAAGAAGGACACAGAAAAGAAATAGGGAAAAACAAAACAAAAAAAATAATAATTTTTTTAAGTTTTTTTTTCCCTATGTCCTTCCCTATGTTACTTCTTCCCTATGTCCTTCTTTCCTGTGCATTCCTGCCCCCACCTCCCCAGTCCGGCTATCTCCTTTGGCAAACATAGCTCTTCTGTTCTCCCAGGATTGATTCTAAGGTGTATATCTACTGATGCAAATATTCATCCTATATGCTGTCTGTTGTTTGGCTGGAAGCTGTTACATTCTTTTGTCTTTGCCTAGACATTCTAATACAGAAACAAAACAAAACAAAAACAAAACTCACTTCCATGAGTGGATTCTGACTGATAGAGATCCCCATTGGGTTTCCGAGGTGGTAAATCTTTACGGAAATAGATTGTCAGTCTTTCTTCTGTAGAGTGGTGGGTTTGAACTGCCAACATTCTGGTTAGCAGTCAAATGCCTTAGACACTACGCCACCAGAACTCTTTTCTAGTATAGAGGGAATGATTATTTTATATGCTGAAAACATGTTGCCATTGCAAACGTTACTCAGATTTTGAAAAATGCACTACCATGAAGCTGTTTTATAGAGATCGCATTGATACTATAAAGCAGCACTATAGACAGGACTTTTAATGAAAAGAATGTTATATATAAATAAATCCATCCCATTTCTGATTGACTGTCATGTCATTTGCTTTTATTAAACTCTTCTGAGAATGTTTGCTGATCCAGAAGTGTAATGTAGCTAAAAAAGCTAAATTAAACCTTAAATGCTCGAGACTAAACAAAAGTCCTATGAATAAAGGATATATTTGCACAGAGTCCTAGGAATACCAGATGTTCAGAAAACTGAGTGACTATGACAGACTAGGTTTGTTTTGAAGTTGGAGATATGTACCTGTGATCCAAACATTAAAAAAAATGCCTAAAAAGTAGTTCTAGTTTTCCTCATGTGGCTGATGTGAATACTAAGTGATATAGCTGAAATGTCCTTGTAAAATTAATATTAAACAATTATATGACTATATTATTCTTTATAGTTAATCTCTTGCTTCTAATGACAATGATAATAGTAATAACAGTACCAATGATTCCCATTTAGGAAAAAAAAATGAAGATAAAACAGAGTATTTAAAATTGAAGTGAGCCCAACTATGTGCGCTAAGGAATAGGGTAAATAACAGAGAATCTGAAGGATTCAGTCAATTCTTTAATCCTGGGTTAGTTTCTCTAAAAGAGGATTGCTTTACTTATCTGATGAATTATATTGCATTGAACTTTGTGGACTCAGTTACCTCAATGAGGAAGGTCATTATTTCCAAAGACAAATTTATTATCTTCACCATTGATGACAAAAGTACAAAGTAACAACAGAAATGAGGAGAAACAGAAAAATAATTATATTTT